GTTTAGTTCTTTTTCGACGTTTCTCCCGAAACCTCAGAGCACCAGCCCCAGGGACAAATGTAGGCTGGGTCTCATAATCCCGGTTGGTCCTCCTGGACGCCTCCCCAGGCCCCAGCCTAAACAACCTTTTGAATGACGAATCCGAATAATTTAGGCGCAAACCCAAACTCGCCTCGCTTCTCTTTGGCGGGATGCACACGGTTCGAAGTAAACTCTGAATTCGGTCCGTAAAGACTCTAGGAGAACTGCCTCCTCCCACCTCCCCCTAAGCACGAAACCTTACGAGGCACGCTCCACACTCAAAATCTTTTCCCCCTTTCTCTTGCAGGGTCCCTCGTTTAAACAGCGTCGGCGCCTTTATTCGCCTGACCCTGTGCGCAGGAAAACCCGCCTGGTCGTTCATTGTCTGGTCCGCGACGGCCCCCGCCCCCGCCCCAATCAGTGTCACAAAACGCCCCTTTCAACAGATTCCAAACCCTCTTCACCCGGGCTCACCGAGCCTTCAACTTCATTAAGTGCGCGCTACGGCGGCTCTGGAGGAGGCGAAGTTTAAATAAACCAGAGCGGAGAGGGAGGAGTGGTGGGCCTGGGGTAGGGGGGTTCCTATTTGAAGGGGGGAGAAAGAAGTGTTTTTGAAAAGGGGAAAAAAGTCATCAGGGGAAAAGCGCTTTGTAACCACGAAGACGCGCCCGCTGTGGCGAGAACAAATTGGATATGGAGGGGAAGTGTCCGCCCCCACCTCAACTCCGGCTCCTGGGTGGTCCGGGGAGCCCCTGGAGAAAGAAAGAAAGATGCGGAGGAATAAGCGGTGAAAAGAATTAACCGCTTTAATTGGGCTGCCAGAGAGGAGTGCGGGAGAGGCTCACCGATGTGCTTCGATCACCCAAACCAAATACCCTTCAATAAAATAAAATGTCTGCTCTTAACCGCGGCCGAAAAACGTATGTCAAAGTTTGAGAATCATGGCTGTTCTTCACAGCCACAGAAAGTAAATCTGCAAGATGGGGGAAATTCTGCCCGGAAAGACCCCCTCCCCTTCCTCGTGGCCTCTGGCCTCCCGGCGCCGGATGAAAAGGAATGAAATTGAACGAAATTGAACGAAATGAAGTGAAATTGACCAGTGAAATTCACCAATTTTCTTCCCCTTTAAACTGCCCGCTCTCAGCAGCTCTCTCTGAACCCCAGGCCGATTTCTTACCATTTTGTCCTCACCTCCGAGAGATGAAGGTGTGCCCTGAATATTTTCTTATTATTGTCACCGATTGTTGTTGCCTAAGGGGAAGCAGCACCTCAGCTACCTCCACCCAAACAGCAGGGAAGCCGCAGGAGCTGAGCCGCTGCAGATGGGAGGGCCAGTTTCTCCTCACAGGAGGCCAGTCCCCTAAGTGAGTCTCCTTAAATTGAACATCCACCCTATATGCACCCATAGGTTGGGAGGGAGCCACGCATTGAGCCCCTCCAGTCTAGAGAAAGGGAAAAAAAATAACCAGGAGGAGGACTCTACCATACAAATCCTGCATGTCCCTCATCCTTCTCATTGCAGTTCAGCTTCCAGATGGGCCCTTCCCAGCTCCTAAACTAGTTCCCCACGAAGACAACCTAAAGGAGTCCTGAATTCCAAACACCCCCCCCTTCACCCCCATCTTCAGCATCTGGAACCTCCAGGGCTCCCTTGGCAATTCCCTTTCTGGGTATTTTTCAAGGCCAATTGGGCATCAGTGGCTTCTCTCTGGGCCAGGTCCTCAGCCATGATTATATGGGGCCCAAGTCTGGCCTTTTTGACCCACTGGGAAACTGTGGTCTGAGTCATAGATCTGGGGCCTCAAGATCCCTAAAAGCCCTCATAATAGCACATCTCACTCTTTTTCCCCAATGCTCTTATTTCTAACTTTTCCTGATACGGACCCTCCGACACATAGATACCAAGCAATATGTTCAGATAAATTCACACACACACACACACACACACACACACACACACACACACACACATTCACAAAGACACATGAAGGAAACCAGAAGGATATACTGCTCCTATAAATAGCAGTTATGGAAGTATCACATCTATCTATACACCATCAGATATGAATTCTAGCTGACTTAATTTTCTCCCTTCTACAGAAGAAAAACCACTGGATAAATCTTTTATTTAAAGCTCCAACCTAATATCTGGGAGTGATATATTCATGGTAAATGAGATTGTGTAGCTACAAAGAACTTTACTGAAAGCGCGCACACACACACACACACACACACACACACACACACACAGGGTCACATTCACCCTTCCTCAGGTGAAAAGAAATGAAATCAAACTCAGCAATGGAAGTCAACAAAGCAGCCAGCCAGAGACCATTATCCCTTTATCAGCAGACATTTCTCCCTTTTCACCATTGAACCTAACCTTAGTTCTGAGCCATTTGATACAATGATGGAAAGGTGTCCCACTGCATTCGACCTTGCTCCACTCCCACCGTCTCTCAACAAGGTGGAGGAGAGGGGTGCCTCACCTCTAGCAGAGGGGCTGCATTTACCAATATGCACTTTGAGCCTCCTCTCTCCTCCACTGTTGAAGAGGATGAGAGACCTGGGAGTCCCAACACCTTTCCCATCCCCATTCTTGTGTATTCTTCTGATCCCCTTTCTATAGGGGCCTCTGTCCTCTACCTCCTCCTGCTTTTCCACTATTTCTAGCTGCGGGGATCCTAGCTGAAAAGGCCTGTATGGCCCAACCCTCTCAAGTTCTCTCTGCTCACTCCTCTCAAGTTCTCTGCATCTGGGTCTCTGACCCTGCCTTCTTCCTTCTGTCTCCCTGTCACTTCATCTCCCAACCCTTGCCCTCAACATGTGTCTGTCTTCTGTGAAGGCTGGACTGCCTCTTCCTACACCTCCATGTTTCTCCTCTCCTATGATCTTACTGGAATGTACAGAGAAAAGAGCTAAGCAACCAACTTTCCTTCACCCAAAGCATCACCTCTCACCCAACACCCCTGCACATCTGGCCAGTGGGAGTCCCAGACACAAACAGAGAGCTGGGAGGCTCGATGGGGTTATGGAAGGCTCCAACCAGACCAGTGGATTTGCACTCAGGCAGGAGCTTCTGGCTATGAGCCCGGCTCTAGGGATGGGAAGTTTTACCCTAACAGAGTGAAACCCCACTGACTCTCTCCTTCAGCTCATAGTACACTGCTAACCCTCTCAGGCTTCAGGAAAGAAAGGTTTCACAGTCCTCAATTCAAGCTTTTCACTCTGACCATCACATGTGGGAAGAGCAGAGGGGGTTCCAAAGGCCCTACGGTGGCCAAGGAGAAACCCCTCTCCTCCTAGAGACAGAGAGACAGTGAATGAGAATCACAAACACACACAAACACAATGTTCACAGACACACACAGAAATAAAAACAAAGATATTCTGAAATACAACTCATAAAAAAGACAAAAAGCAAGGATACGTGCTGACCCAAGCACAAAAACAAATCACAAGCTTCATAAAAGCCCGGCACACAGAGTATGCATCGAGACATATTCAACTCAAACGGTACCTAGTGGGTATAGTCTTCATGAGCACTTAGCACCCCGCTCTGTCCAGGCCATGCTAACATCTTAACTAGAAGGAGATGAGAATCCTCAGGTGCATTTGAAACACAACACGTCCGTCCGGAACTCCAGGCAAAAACCCTAGGACCAGAGTGAAAACGAAAGTGCTAGAGGGGTCACAGGCTTCCCAGAGACCTGGCCTCATCAACAGCCCAAGGCCAAAACCGAAGTGCCCCCTGTATCCTAGGAGCCCAAGCCCTCCTCGACCTGCCTGGGCTACCTAGGGGCCTTTCCTCACCACCCTCTGCTGGGGAGCTAGGGGTCTGCTGAGAGAGCCCCAGAAGGGACACGGGAGTGCAGGCAAGCAGACAGAGCTGGTGACTGCTGAAGTTCACATACATTTATTCAATTGACACCAAGGGGGAGTGGGGGGAGACAGATTTTGTTTCTTTTCTTCCACACAAACCATTAGATGATTTCACAGAGTCTCCCCACAGTGGAGAAATCTAAATCAACGCACACCCAGTGGACAGAGAACGCAGAGAGCCGCCCGCTGTACAGATATTTACACATAACTACAGGAACCCCTGCCACAGGGCATGCCCTCGCCCACCCCACTCCCACCTCTCCAGTCCCTGGCCTGACCCTTCTCTCCCACCCAACCTCATCGCCTTTAGCTACAATAAATATCGCAGGGCCTGGGACAGAGCAGAACGCTGAGAGGGCTGCTGGCCCCGGATGGCTGGACCCAGCCGGCCACGAGAAGGGGGAAAAGTTCCTCTAAAAGCACCCAAACACAAAAGAGAAAGGATTTTCTTCAGTGGAGTGGGATCCAGGGTTTCTGCAGGAATTGTGAAGACCCCCTGCTTCACCTCTCCGTTCAGCTCCGCCTGCGTAGACACCGGTTTAGGCTTCAGAGGGAACGAACTTCCTTGGAGAACAGCAAAAAAAAAAAGAAAAAGTTGAATTTTTCTTTTAAGCACAAAGCGGATAATAGATGTCTTTAAATTATAATATTGAACAAGCTGGGTCTCAAAGTTGGGGAAGGACGTGAGGGGGAGAGGCAGAAAAAGACACCTCTCAGCGCAGTTGAGGTTTCTGGCGAAATCAGCAGGGCCTGGGCAGGCATCTCTCCGGGAATGCATGCTTCCGGGGCTGCGGAGAGATGCAGAGGCAGGGAAAAAACGAAGGCTCCCCGCTCTCCCTCTTTTACTGCTCAAACTGGGTTGGGATCTTGGCTTGCGACCTCTTCACGCGTAGACCTGGGCCTCGCCCTGAGCGATAGAGCCCGCTTCGTCCCAACTATCGGCGAGATTCCGAGCGTGAAGCCTGAAGAGCCAAGTCACGCGCGCCGGTCCAAGGTCTGCAGACACTTCATAAATAGACTCCCTGAGTTCCGCTGGGTCCGCAGGAGCTCCGGGGAGAGGCTGAGTGCGGGCCTAACCGGCCCTAAGCCCGCTGTGGTCAGAAGTGGCAGCCACTGAGGCCGGCGACTTTGCTGGCAAACGGGGACCCTGACGACAGGAGCGCATCCCCGGGGTGCGACAGGCGAATGTGGCCGGCTACTGGAGCCAGGGCCGGGGCAGTCAGCATGGCCAAGACCTGGGCTTGACCCCCGGGACCAGCGGCTGCCGCGAACGGCGGTCCCGGGGAGCCCTCGCCACCGCCCGGGGTTGCTGCCCCGCCGCCACCGTGGCCCATAATGTGGTCTATAGAGAAGGAAGGCCTCTGCCCTGCCCCGGCGCCCCCGCCGCCTGCACCACTGCCCGCGTCCGTCTTGAGGCCCTGGCGCAGAAGTGCAGTGGACAGACTGGCCGCTGTGCCAGCCGCAGGAGGGCTCAGGGACGCGGGGTAGAAGGTTTTGGCGCAGCCCAGCTCTGCGCCCAGGAAGGCTGGCAGGCCCGCGGGGCCCGGGCCCGACCCTGGGGCAGGCGCAGGGGCTGGGGCCGATGCTGCGCCCGCGAACACCGAGGCCGTCGGAGGTCCGGGTGGAGGTGCAGCTGCGCGGCCTGGAGGAACCGACAGCTGGCAAGGGGCAGCGGCGGCTGCAGCGGCGAAAGCGAAGGCGTGCGGGTGTGGATGCGGATGCGGGGCTGGCCCCGGCGGGGGCGCGCCGTAGGCCGGGAGCGCCAGCCCGTAGCCGTAGCCGTAGGCTCCGTAAGCAGCGAAGCCGGGCAGGAAGGCGCCGGGGTCCCCCGCTGCCGCGGCCCCGCCACGCAACAACAACTCTGGGTGCGGGTGCGGGTGTGGATGCGGCGGCGGTAGCGGCTGCCGCTTGAAGCGCTTGCGGCGCCGCAGGAAGCTGCCGTTGTCGAACATGTCGGCCGACTCCGGGTCGAGCGTCCAGTAGTTGCCCTTGCCCGGGTTGCCCGGCTCACGGGGGATCTTGACGAAGCAGTCGTTGAGCGAGAGGTTGTGGCGGATGCTGTTCTGCCAGGCGGGGAACTTCTCCCGGTAGTAGGGGAAGCGGCCGCTGATGAACTCACAGATCTCGCTCAGCGTCAGGCGCTTCTTGGGGCTCTGCAGGATGGCCATGGTGATGAGCGCGATGTATGAGTAGGGCGGCTTCACTAGCGGGCTCCGCGTCGCCGCGCCCCCCGACGGCGGTCCTGGCCCGGGCCCCGCCGCGCCTCGGGCTGCCGCCGAGCCTGGCCCTGGGCTTCCCGCGGCAACCGCCGCCCCCCGGGGCGCTAGAGCGCGAGGCTCGCCCTCCGAGCAGCCACCCGACTCCTCCTCGTCCTCTGCTACGTCTGCCTCGGCTTCCTCCGGGGGAGGCTCGTGGCCGTGGGGGAGCACGTCCCGGGGGGCTCGGGGCCCGGAGCGGGCTGGGAGCTCCCCCCCACCGCTGCCGCCGCCCACTACGTCTATGTCTGCGTCGGCCTCGGACAGCGCGGCCGGGGAGCTCTCGGAGGACATGATCTCGCAGCAGCAGCTGCCCAGGGTCATGGTGCCGCCGCCGCTCTCCGGCTCCGCTCGGGCCGCGGCTCGGGCTCGGCCGCGCTGCCTCTGGGGCGAGTGTGTTTTGCGCGCGGGCGGGGAGGGGGCGGGGGACTGAGGCGGGCAGGGAGGGGTGTCCCCCAGCTCCGCAGCGCCCTCTGGTGGCCCAGCTCGGCCGCTCTCACCTTCCAGTGCGCACCCAACTGGAGGCTCCCTCCTGCCCCGGGAGCGCGAGCTGGGACCTGCACCAGGGAGCCGGCGGAAGGAGCTCAGGCCTCCCCTTATCCTGGCTGGTCTAGGCCCTCAGTCCCCTCCGGTGGGAGTGGTGGGGTTGGGGGATTAGTCCCTCCCGCCTAGCGGCTGCCTAAGGCGGAAGAGCCGCGGGCCTGGGGCGGAGCTCCCTGGGAGGGATGGGGTGGGGTGGGGCGGGGCGGGAGAGGGCGGGCGAAGTGCCTCCGCAGAGAGGCCCGGCGGGAACAAACCGCCGCCGCCGCGGGAGCTCGGCGAGGGTGGCTGGAGGCGGGTCCTCCTCTTCCCCGAGCTCCCGCAAACCCTCTGCTCCAAGGAGCCGCCGCCTTCCGTGCGCTCAGCCCCTGGATGGCAGGCTTACGTGTTCGCCAGCCGGAGCCGGATAAGTGGCGACAGCCCCACTCGTCATCTCCCCAAGGGGGCTCCCGGGCCACCAAGGCCGAAGCGCAGTTGGAGCTTGAGCGGGAGCCTGGGACTCCAAGACCTACGCCGCCTGAGCGGGGCCAGCCGGGCCCCAAGGGGGAGACGCACCCGAGTGATCGCGAGGAGCAAACTTTGCACTCTCCGCCTCGGGCCTCGGAGAGGTGAGAGATTCTGACTGTGTCCTTCTCCCCTCCAAGGCCAGGGGCCCGCCACCCATCTCCTCGCAGGGAGACCCAGGGAGTGCGCGCCTGCTCGTGGTCTCCTCCCCGAAGCTTCTCTGCAGCACTCCCGGGGCGCGGGCGGGTCCGTCGCTCCGAGTTTGCCTGTACTCCGACCTCTTTAATGTCTTGGTATCCATCTGTCTCGGCCTCTGTGACTCTGTATCTCTCATCCTCCGTGAATCTCTGTCTCCGTTTCCTGTGGAAACTGCATTTGTCTGGGTGTCTGTTCCTGGGTCTGGGACTCCTTCGCTTAATTTCCTCTCTCCTCCACCCCTAGTCGCACTGAGGACAGCCCCCTTTCTGGCCGCCAGTCCTGTAGGTCCTACAGACAGGCAGCAGGATCCCTCTCTGCGCCCCCCTACCTCCCTCAGTGAACCCTGACCTCAGCCCCGGGCCAGGGCGCCTTTATCTCTCAGGATCGTGTGTAGGATTGGTCCTGCGCACTCTTTCTCGCCAACCCGGTTCCTGCCCATTCTGTCAGGACTTTCTCTCCTGGCCTCCCTCCAGGACACAGAAACGAATAGCTTCCACATAGACTGGGCCCATTTCAGTCTTCGGGGTGCGGAAGGGGAGATGGGCTCTGGACCCGGACAAAAACTGAGCGGATGGTTGGGCTGCTGCCCCGACAGCGCCGCGCAGTGGCCAAGGCTCGGGTATTTGAGGCTGGAGTCCCAGCGGCGCTTCGCTGTCACAGTCTGTGTGACCCTCATTAGGTAACTTCCCCTTCTGAACCTCAGTTTCCTGGTCTGAGTAGTACTTGACAGCAGGGAGCCTAGAGTCAGGCTGCTGGGCTTCCAATCCTGGCCTCACTACTTACCAGCTCTGTCGCCTTGGGCAAATTTCTTAAATTCTTTGTGCCTCTGTTTCTGCCTCTGTTAAAATGAGATTAAAAACACGTACCCCCACAACTAATATGTAGGAGTAACCACATTCTAGGTTATTTATAAAGACAGTATTGAGAGCACTTTGCAGATTCTTGGAGCCCTGTTCTCTGAGAGAGAAAGAGGTTAGAGGCCATGAAGTCTTCCACCTGGATCTCAAGCCCTGGTCCAGCCCCTCCATCCCCACCCTCCACCCCCACCCTCACCCCCAATGGGTTACTGGTGCCATCTCCAGTCTCTGTGGTCCCCTGTAGATAGTGCTGGGTGAAAGGGAATGCCCCAGAGGGCTATATCTCAGCAGGGTGGATGTCAGGGTGAATGAATTCTCTTTCATGTAACAGCAGCCTCTAATCTATGGATTAGAGGCATTAATCTAGCCTTAATCCACCTCTCCCTTTACATAGAGGGGGTTATAAAGGCCCAGAGAAGAAGAAAAGGACTCACCCAGGCTCCTACAACAAGATAGAGTAGGGCTGGGTAACAAGCAACCCTTTTCACAGAATCTTCACAATAGAGTTCTCCATCTTCCTAAGCTAAGAGCAGAAAGGAGTGTAAGACAGGTCTGGCTGCTTGTATCCTGTGAGAGCAAATCCCCTGGGCCCCCTCTGGGACCTCTGACCAAGGGAATCCATCTAATGCACTGCATAAACAGACTGTCCTTGGTAAAAAGAGAAGAGGTCCAGTCCTCAAACTATGGGACAGAGATTAGTGGCCCTGGAATGTGAATTTCCTGGGTGACAAGGCCCTCCAGAAGAAAAAGAAGAAAAAAATCTTGGAAAGAAATTTCTTATTTGAGTCCAGATAAATTGACATACCTAGGGTTGCTAGATTTAGCAGATTTATTTTATCTGGCAACCCTACACTCAAGCTTGCTATCTCACACTTCCAGGACCCCACTCGTGGATACTCCACACCACGGACCACACACCAACTCCAATCCAGCTCAACGCTGTTAGTGTCTAAATAAGTGGAGAGAAAAACAGTATTGGCATCATCCTTCTACATTTCACCTTCTGACTGTCTTCATTTCTAAAATGGCAAGTGGGAGCCAGTAGCTTCCCTCCTTGCCAGCACTTTCCTGGTTCCCCAGGCTCGAGCCCCCGGCCCAGCCTCTGAATAAGACTGGTTGGGACATTTGCTGCCCAAATTCCCTGATTCTAATGCTTCAGACAAGAAGCTCTACAGAGCAGCTGCAGCAGCCAGCCCGGGACTGCGCCTGGGCCTGCTGTACATTGGCTGCTAGTGAGACCCACCTTGGGGAAAGGGAGTTCTCTTTCTTCTGCAGGGTGGGGATGGGGCACGATTTTAAGGAATCATCCAGACCCTTCACACACATACTTTCACAGAAATGGAAACTGAGGCCCAGGGGATCATATTACTTGTCAGGTTTTTGAGGAGCCCTAAATTGGGCTGGACCCAGGTGTCTGGGTTCCCAGCCCAGATCTTGTCTATTTATCCAAATAACTCTGCTTCCCTGACCAAGCACCACTCTGGGGAGGGAGATTTCTGGTAGCCTCTCATCCCTGCCAAAGTTCTGTGCCAATTTCTTTTAAATAGCCTCAGGAGTAGGTGCACTGGGGACTGGGAGAAGGGTGACCCCAAGATTCTGGATTCCTTTTGTTTCCTTCACATCTCCCGTGGCCCCTGCCTTTCTCGCCCGAGGCCTCAGCCTCTTCACTGTCTTCCAGCAGTGTCTGCCGCCCCTCAGGAGTCCATCGCTTTCTCTGCGAAAACCTGGGCACTTTCCCAGGAGCCTGGGATCCAGCATTCACACCCGCAGCAGCCTCCAAGCAGTGGAGGGCTACAGTCTCTTTGCATCTTGGTTAGAATGTCTCTGGTCGTGCCCGGCCTCCCTCATCTGCCTCGCTGCCTGTCCACTTTCCTTGAGTAGCCCAGGACAACTGGGAGGAAGCGTTTGGGGGAGTGCCTGTTCGAGGTTTTGCACTCCAAAATGTTCGGATAACCGGGGAGAAATTGTGGAGTGTCTATTGCGAAGTATATGTTGCTATCAGTGGTGTCAGGCCGTCTCTCCCTCCCTCTTATGGTCCCTGTAAACGAGCTGTTCTCCTTTCCTGGGGAAAAGGAGAGCCAGCCCTATGGCGATTGTGTGGATATGATTTCGTCAATCGAGAAATTGGCGGAAAGCAGCACTGGCTAGAGGCGGAGTTTGTCCTTAGTCGCGGCACTGAACGACCGCGCGCGGCCTTTTGGTGGTTGAGCCCGGCAAGCGCGAGGGTCTTGCCTTCCACACGGGTAGGCTGCAAAGACAGGCCGGAGCTGGTCAGGGGGCACCACGCCCGCACACTTCTCTAATTTTATTCACAAAACTGGCCAGCCTCGGGGAAAGCGGTGAGGCTGGCGCTTCTGCCCCGGAAGGGGCTGCAGCTCTGGAGGGAGACGGTTGTCCGGCCTCAACTGGGACATTTCCCGACCCTTCTCCACCCGGATCTTTGCCTTCTCAAGGGCGATCGGATCCCTTGGCCCGAGAAGGGGGCGGGGGCCTCCAGATCGTGTGACTAGCAGAGTCAGACCTCGGGTGGCTCAGCTCCTCAGGCACAGAAATGACAGGGACTCCAGCGTGCGCGCCTTCTCCCCCCAACCCCCAAACCCACCTGACCACCTCAGGCGCTGGCGCAGGGCCTCTGCCATAGCCCGCACACCTCAGCGTGAAAAAGTTCCGGAGTACAGATTTCACCTTCCTTTCCTTCTCTTACTCCTGGACACAGTCCCCGCCCAGCCCCGTCCATCCCACTCCCAATACGTAGTGAGGGGCTCTCCGAGCGCTCCACGGCTGGAACACTGCGCAGTAGTTGAGACGGCGAGCTGTGGAGCCTGCCGACTTCCGTTCGTGGGAAGAGGGTTGCGGGCTCAGGAGAGGGTGAAACAGCGCGGCTCAGAAACCGCCCGGCCTCGGACGCGGGCTCCGGGTCAGGTTAATGGTGGACGCTTCTAGGTGTGTTGGAGCGGGTCTAAGTGTGCTCTTGTGGGTTCCTCTCTCCCCCGGCCCGAGGTTCTCTTTCTCTGTCCTCTTATGTGTCTGCCCTCTGGGCGACAGTGGCTCTGTGTGGCGGAATACGCCACAGCGCTACAGGCGCCTGTCCTGCGTCCTCTCCTCCGGGCCTCAAGCTATGTGTCCGCAGAGCCGGAGTGACCTGGGACTGCCCTGGAAGGCTCGCCATCCAGGCCCACAACTTTTCCCCTGAGCCTGAGGCGCCGCGACCTGGGGATTGCAAAC